TGCGATCGGTGAGGAAAGAGGAGAACCACCGCATCACGGTGCCCCCCACTCCCAACTCCACCAGACGCCGCAGCATGATACCGTGGTCCACAGTATCAAAAGCCGCTGAGAGGTCCAAAAGAACTAGGACAGAGGAATAACCCCTGTCCCGGGCCCTCCAGAGATCATTCACCAATGTGGCCAATGCCGTTTCCGTGCTGTATCCCGGTCTGAAGCCCGACTGGAGCGGTCTAGATAGACTGTTTCCTCCAGGTGTCGGGGGAACTGCTGCTGTTGTGATAGTGGTGACTTCAAAGAAATAGTGCTTATCAAAAATGAAAAATATGGCTTTCTAATAAGTATCAGAGCTGAATTAAAACACTGCCATGTGTTTTTCAGGCAGTTTTAAGTAATAATTAATAGAATCATGCAGAGAAATCATGTTTTGTTTCAAACTTGGAATAGTAGTCATTTTCATTTTGGTTGGAAAGAAAACAAAAACCTCTATAGACAATTAGATCTTCTGTGTTCCAACATGACAAACTTTGTTTTGAATGTTTCAATCATGGAATATAATTGGAACTTATAATGATCCCTTTGCTCCATTGCTCTTAATAACAAATGTTAACAGAAGTCAATAGTCCATGCCTCCCAGCAGCCAGCTTGCAGAAGGATTGACAAATAGATGATCTAAAACATTTTTAACATAAAAATTCTTAGTAATGTGTTGTTCAATTTCTATGTACTATTGAGTTTATGGCATCTAGGTCTTTCCAAGAAAGTTATAATTTTAGTCTTGTAAGTGTAAGCTCTTCCTTCTTAGGGATCAGGACAATTGGATCATATGAAAACTCCATGATGAGATGCATCAAATTGCAGAGAGATGAAACAGATAGAAAGTGTATTTTGTGGAACATAGAATGGATACCAGGGATTTACAGTATGAGGGAGATGTGGATAATTTTGCTGTGATGGAGCCACATGTGAAATAATTGCTACTACAGTTTCATGCTACTCCTGAAGAAGTTGGGGAAAATATAAAAAGTAAGATAGTCTGAGCTTTGGCACAATTATTGATTATTTGAGGAAAAAAATATGAATGGTGAAGTAGATAAAGGTTATAGAATAAATTCTTGTTATGCCACAAACTGGGAAGTCCCTAATGGTGTGCTAGTCCATTTTGTAAAAAGAATAAAAGATCAAGTCTTTGATTGTCATTTCAAGACTAAATTGTAGATTAATAATGTAGAAATAATTGTTTTGAAGGAAATTTCCATTAAAATATTGAGGAAAAGAAAAGCATATGCCTTCCTGAGAATTATTCTAAAAAAGAATAGGATTCTATTTTGTTGGGACAAACTAGAAGAGGTTATCTTTACATACCAAGAAAAAAGATTTTAGACTGAATTCCATAGAAAAATTGAAATATTTTCTTCTCAAACTTAAACTGATTGTAGACAAGATATAAGAAGCAAGGGCAATGGAGAATAAAGTTGATCAAAACCAAAAAGATCAAATAAATCAAAGCCAATTAGTAGATTCTGGATGTCCTACCAAAGATGTTATTTGTATTCCAGTGTTGATGATTGAGGCTCTGTTTAAGCAATGGCAAAGGGACATCTCTAAGTTTATTTAACAAAGAAAAAAAACAAGAATTAAAGTATAAATTATTACAGGATACCAAAGAAAAAAGAGGTTTGGGTCTTCCAGATTTAAAACAATATTTTGAGACATGTTGTTTGGTTTGAATGAAAGAAGGGTGATCCTAAGGAATAAGAGATTATTTGGTTTAGAAGGTCATGAATTGAAGTTTGGACAGCACCCCTATCTATGGTATGAGAAATGGCAAAGATGGTGAAGTTGACTGCACTAATTAGGAACAAGAATGTAAATAGTTTTGTAGTTACTTGGAAACCGCTTCTGGACTTTCTATGTGGAAGAAAAAGAATGAAATTTTAACTTTGGATTTTGATTATTAAGTGGTTTACTGCTATAGAAATGGCTAGTAGTTACTATTTAGTATATGTAAAAAGTTGATACGATAACTTTATTAGTTACCTTACTGTAAGTCAGAAGCTACTGCTTTTTCTTTTCTTTTTTTCCTCCTTTTCCTCGCTTAATCTTTCTTCTTTTTTCTTTTTTCCTTATTTTTATTTGTATTTTATATTAAGAAAAAAACTTTTAATAAAAATATATTTTTAAAAAAACCATTACCAGTTCATCAAAAGTGCAGAAACCAAGATTCTTCATATAACCCAGTAATCAGACCAAAACAGATAATCAGCAGAATTGTTTGTGTTATTCGCTCAAGAGAATACACAGAGTACATACATAGCAAAATTTCAATACATCAACGATTTGCTGAAAGATTCATGTTAGCAGCCATAAAAGCCAGATTCTAAATACCAATCAGTATAAAGATATTTTTGAAAAGATATTGAGGTTAACTACATTTGTCTATTCTGCATTCTCCTATATCCTGTTGAAATGAATAAGTAAGAATATAAAATTTAACACAAGCTAATGTAAAGAAGAAAAAACAAAAAGTGCAAGAAAATAAAAAAATAGAAAATAAATGAAAAATATACAAAGGAGTAATTTCTAATACTCTTCATAATAATTATACTGTAAGTACAAATATATTTTAGCTCTTTCTAAAGTTAACATCATACACAACATCACATACTCAAACATATACACACATACCACTTTCACATTTACTTTGCCAATACATCTATATAAAATCCAAGTTCGAATAGGAAATAAAATATCAACAAATACAGTGACATGTAATAGTGAGCAATTCTCTTATGGTCTAAGACGTTGTTGTCTGTTGACCACAGCATCACTTCCATCTATGCTATGAGTTTTCTCCATAGGCATGCCACACCAGATGATGCAGGGACCAATGGGAAAACATATTAAATCAGCCATGGGGGACTTAATCCAATGTGGATAACTTTTAAGGGATGCTAAAAACCTGACTTTTGCATAAGTGGGTCATTGAGTCACCTGAGATGCAGGTTCTTAGCTGTTCCTCAGATCATTGTCAGGGATCATTTAAAAGCTTAGGAATAATGCAGACAAAAATATCAATCCTCCATCTTTTTTATCTCTAGTCTCCTGGATGAATTTGTGCTATGCACTAGAAGCAGAATTTGAATCCAAATATGTTTATTATAGAGAAGTATTACAAATAATGACCATAAGTTTTGGTGATTATTTTTACTTTAAGGTTAACAAACTAGGTGCTCTTTGTCCTAGAAATCTTAATGCCTCTCATGATTTCTGCATCTTTCTTAGTGAGTGTTTTAAACAATTTCTTGAGAAACTATATACCGGTAATGTCATTACATAGAACTAAGGGGGCAACCATTTCCATTCAGTGTTATCTTCAGTACGTTTTTACTTTTCATTTAATGTGCTTAAAACAACAGGATATTCTACAGAGTTCCTATGTTTTAAGGGTTAAAGTGATCTGAAATGTTGCCTTCCAGTACATGTGCAAGGGCAAAGCACAGTTACCATGGAGACTGCTAGAATAATGTGTTTCCTGTCTTCCTATTGCATTCTGATAGTAACATACTCCTGCATACAAAATGCTTAGAGCCATATACCATTGGATGATTATCTGAAGGATACACTTTTGACATTTTTGGGTATACATTAAAATTGATACCAAGTCCCGTACCAGTAGGAGTATGGTTAAGAGATACAGGCTTAATAATGATATAAGTCAATATTTTTCAAACATTTTTTCAGCAGCACATTTCTAAACCTTTCTAAATCTAAAGTCATAGTTTTAAAACATATTTTGTCGAACGTAGTAGAATGTTTAGTTTTATTCTAGAAAGATGTGAAATCTAGGGTAAAGCATATAGGAGTTACAGGAGTTCCATTGACAGGGTGAAAACCATAACTGAAAATTTTTTCAGGGAAACTCTGTTCGTCTGCACATGCTCTAGGCTTTGTACAGTTCTGTATCAGCCTCGCCCATCTCGTCTGTGATGAAAAACTACAGGTTGTTTTTTCATTTCATTTTGGATCCTGCCAAAAATATTTTTTCTATAATCGAATAGTGAAATGTTGACATGATATGCAGAATACTAAGTTTTTAGAGTAAGGATGTAATTTGAAATAAAAAACTAAAGCAACACGGAACAAATTGGAAAGAAATGTTATAAGCCAGATGATATCTTTCAGTTTTTAAAAATAAAGACCTTTTAAGAAAATTATGCTCTATTATATATCACAAAATAGAGTATGTAAATGTTTGGGCATGGGAATGAGTTTATATGTGTGAAGAATTTTTCACCTTTTCATCTAGCAGTGGCTACCAGCAGATGATGTCACCTTGCAGCTGATTGGCTGTTTCAGTACCTAGTGCAGGCAAGAGACAGAAGGATGCCGGCACAAATCTGTGTGGTGAATCTGTGCTGCTTTTTCTCAGTTTTATATGGAATATTTTGATTAATATTGAGATTATTCAACTGTACAGCCATGTGAGCAAGTGGGAACATCTTAGTGCAAGGGCCGTTGAAGAGCTGACAGGAATGAGGCGGCTGATCTGTAAACGGATCTGTGATTGTAAGTGTTAAAATCAGGGTGGAAGGAATGAGCAGGGAGTGTTCGTAGACACGTTGTAGGAGGATGTGTAGCAGAAATGGCAAGTACGACTGGTAGAAAAGCAGTGTTTTTCTTACAGAACTGCTGAATTAAATTGAAAATGTAAATGTTTAATTGGAATTACAGATTGTAAGTGGACAGGAAATATATATCTAATGGATATTTCCTTAGTTGCCAAAGATTAAACTTTAAAATGATAGATTCTATCATTTGCAAGTCCATTATATGAAATGAAATTACATTATTTTTTTTCTGTGGTTGTTTGTAGCTTTAAAGAAAAGTGACATTCCTTTTGATTGGATTTTTATATATACTACAGTTGTAAATATTTATTTTAAAAACAAAAGAATTTGGGGTTTTAATGCATGTTTTTCTTTTTAAAAACACCTTTATAGATAAAAGCTTTGATGATGAAGAATCAGTGGATGGAAATAGGCCATCTGCAACTGCCTCAGGTTTCAAGGTTCCTGCACCTAAAAAACCTGGAAATCCTTCAAATACAACAAGAAAGCCAGGATCTGCTGGTGGGCCTAAGGTTGTAGGTAAGGATAAATAATTCAGACATCAGGATACTTTATTTTGACTTAATGAGAATGATATTGAAGACCTGTAAATGATAATGTATCATTCATAATTGCAGTATTTTTGCAAGTCAAGAAAGTGTAAAATGCCTTCAAAAGCTTAGGTTTTTAGATGAAATATAAATGATGAATTTAACATTTTGAATGGATGCACTAGCTTTCTAATTTTTCGTGACTGGTAAGAAAAGCACACACTTAATTGCTATCATGTTAGAAATCATATGTTATAAAATTATTAAGCATTGATACATTCCCATGTATAGAAAAACTTCAAAATAAATAAAATGATCAACCTTAATAATATACTAGGAAAAGGAAATGAACCATAGAATAGACTATATGAAGTCTGTCATAAAGATAGAAACATTGATCATAAACAAGTTTTTTAAAAAAATAGTTTCATGTTTCAGTAAATTATGAGTTGCAGTTATTTTTTTTGTTCTTTTGAAACAGTTGAAAATGTAAAAAATTGACAAAAATAAGTATTTCCATTTCCAAATAATTTATTTGACCCCAAAAAGGTAATACTTGAATCAAAATGCAGATGTAAATCTCTTATATTTAGAATACATTAATCTACCAGATAAAAATATTTATTTTCTCATCCAGTGTGCTTTTTCAATATGGTTTTTAATAGTTGATAAAGTTGCATCATCATTTGAGTGGGCTATTGCTCAGGATGTTTTCAGCGTAAATCAAGCATTTTAAAATAAGGTAGAAATGAGTTTATGTTCATTATATAAATATAATATTATATAAACATATGAATATATTTTATCTATATCTTGCCTTCTATTTATCTACCTACTAAACCTCAACTATTATTTGTATAAATCTGCAACAGTTATATGTTTAGTCAACATTAGGAAATGTCCTCAAATTGGGCAATATAAGTGGCTTGCCATCTTCTTTATATTGTACATATATTTTGCTATTCTGCTGTTTTGGTTTTAGTATACATTTTTAGGATAAACTACATATGACAAAATCAAATTCTTTCCCAGTGAAGCTTCCTATAAATATGTTGATTTACAATTCCTATTATCATTTCTTAGTAAAGTTTGAACAACTGGAAAAAAGTCTGCATTATCTATGTACATAACTAAATTTTCTCTGTAGGAAAAATAAAATTCTTTTTTTCCTTAAAAATTACTGATGAGAAATGCTAGTAGTCTAGAGAGCACAAGAAGTTCTAAGGTTGCAAAAGTTGTGAAACTGTTTCTCAAACTTTGCCCATGTCTTTGTAGGTTTAGTCTCTAAATAAACAAAATGTATGCTCAAAAGCATGTATATGAGAACTATTTATTTTCCTGACCTTATTTTCATTATAAGCTATTTTCATGCCATTTATGTTTATGTCATCAAATTGCCATTGGTAAATATATAGAAGTCTCATGATTGTTTATAATTTTAGCAAAAGATGGACAACTGAATCAACTCATTAGAAATTAAATATAGGAGATGAATGATGTTTGGGCAAGGAAGATTATAGTTACTAGATTAGATTGTCACATCTGTATTTTTGAGGCAATATCAGGAAATTGTTTTTCCTAAACATTCAGTTTAGAATTTTTCTGAATGTTGTCAAAGAATAAATATGAGATCCTAAGAGTTCTTTTTTCAGTATTTAACTATTTTTAGTCTAAAGATAAGAGCTGCAGTCCATTTCATGAACCTAACCCCTATTTATATACAAGAGTAAATAACTGACTTATAGGCAGTCCTTGACTTAATGATCACAATTGAGTCCAAAATTTCTGTTGCTAAGCAAGGCAGTTGTTAAGTGACTTTTGCCCCATTTCATGACATTTCTTGCCTATTTCTTGCCTTACTTATTAAGCGAATCTGGCTTCCCATTGATTTTCCTTGTCACAAAGTCATAAAAGATGATCACATGACCCCAGGATACTGCAATTGTCATAAATACATGTCAGTTGCCAAGCATCCCAATTTTGATCACATGGCTACAGGGATGCTGCAAAGGCCATAAGTATGAAAAAGTCATAAGTTACTTTTTTCAGCGTTGCAGTAAATTCAAACGGTCAATAAGCAAATGGTTGTAAGTCAAAGACTATTCGTATCTGTCTTCCAAGCTCCCAGAATACTCTCCCACAAATTTATTCCGGGAGGTTCTCTTTTCCTCAGGTACAGATTTTCTGATTTTATACAAAGAACATGGAATCTCCATTCTTCCATTTCATCAATGAAAATATTTTGGGACATCAATATTTAGCATTTTCAGATAAAACAATTAACATCTTTACACATTGAATCATTTTCTTTCATAACTTAATTACCATGCTTGTTGCAAAATACGTTTCCTAGTTATATTATACCTAGTTTTGTTCTCCATCTATTTTTGTGGTAGCAGAATGTAAATAAAATTTCCATAATAAAAACAATAGTATATCTGTAGTATCTTTCAAATGAGGAGTAGCTTAATATATTATTTAAACTATATTGTGAGCTTTATAAGGTTGGATAGTATCTTCATTTTGCAGAAGGTATGCTGAGAAATATAACAGTTTAAGAGAGTTGAAATGTGGACTTTCCAACGCTTATATAGTTGGCTTCAAAAATGTCTTATCACCACATGTCCTCTAGTGCAGTGGTCCCCAACCCCTGGTCCGAGGACCAGTACCGGGCCACAGCATGCCAGCAACCAGTCCGCACAAACAAGCAAAGCCCCAAACAAGCAAAACCACGCACTCTCCGGTCCGCGGAAAAACCTTTCTCCATGGAACCAGTCCCTGTTGCCCAAAAGGTTGGGGATCTCTGCTCTAGTGTATTAGATGACAAATATTTTTTGCTATTTTCCACAAAAAAGTATTTTATTGCTAAGTTTATCAGAAATGGCAGTAGGTCTAAAACAGCTTTTTTCATGTGTTCCTCAAGAAGTGGTATCCATGTCACGTAAGACCATTGTTGAAAATTATGTTTATATCACAGTTTACTTAAAAATGTAATAAACTACATTGAGATGACATACTTTTAAGAATCCTACAGAAAACCAAACCTTTATAAAAATGTTAAAGTTGGCTAGGCATCAATTTCAGCCATTTAGATTATTGAAGATGCTTTTATTATTTATTAAAGTGTTACAATAAATAAAAGAAATCTAGGTTAATAATCAAAAAATTTATAAGTTACAAGGAGAACTGTTAATAATTTAGTCTCAGCATGCGGGCTTTACAGAGAAACTTAAGCTATACAATTCACTGCTGAGAAACTTATCTTCTAATTTATTGTGGAAGAAAAAACTAAGAGAAAAATAAAGATAATATGATACTGAGGATCTAACTTTAGTTGATGCTAAACAAAACCTTTAAAATAGATGCCTGAAGGGAAATTTTAAAGATTGAGAAAGGCTATATGCTGTTTTAGAAATTTATTTTTTCATTACTAAAATCTAAGAATTTCTACTAATATCTAGGAATTTCAAAGAGCCAAAGGTTTTGTTCGTGTGGAGTGTGTGTGTATTTAGATATGCCAAGAGTATATTATTTCAAGTGTGTGTGTGTGCGTGTGCGCGCGCGCCTTTATATTATTAATATGTATTTTTTTCAATGCATTTTTTCCTTCAGTCATTTGGTAATTCTGCTGCAAGAATGGCAAGATAGCACATATAAGAGTCACAAATCTGTGCCATCTTAAAATAGTCCCATGCCTGTTTGTCCCTCTTGTCTACCTCTCTTATTTTATTTCTCAGAAAAGGCTGATATATAGCAAGATTTATTTAAAAGTGTATATTTTATTAATGTCTTTGCATTATTAAATTGAACATTAATTTTGAGAGTAATTCAGGTATTTATTGTTTGATCTTTTATATGAAAAATTTTCAGATAATTTATATATACAGAGCTTCATGGTGTACCAGATTTCAGAAATTGTTTTAGTATTTTTGAAAGAGCAAGGAAACTGTACATAAATGTAACTCTTAAAGCATCAAGAAGGATTGCAAATCCACTGGTTTAACAAAAAAAACTGTAGAATAGTTAGTAGCCGTAAGTATTGAGAAAAAATAGAAAAAAGGAAAGGAAAAGAAAAGCATTGTTTAATTCATGAAGGATGTAAGTAAACCAATCAGGCATTATCTTTGTTTCACGTGAGTGGTGTGTTCCTATCAATTACATTACTTAAACATTGTCTTAATATTCTCCTGTGGCCAGTGCTATAGCAACTGGTTCTGTAGCAGTATCCCCCCCCTCTCTCTCCCTCCCTCTTAAATATATACTCTATTAATTCTGTTTTTCTTTTATGGAACTGTGTTGATACTAAGGTAAGAGTATAATAGAAAAGAATTTAAGACAAAGTTAATGATAGTAAGTTTTTTTTAAATACAGTACAAAGGGACATAGAGAAAACAGAATTGGAAATTATTAAATAGATATAATTACAAACTACTATTATGCTAGGATCACACAAAATCTACAACAGAATAAATGTATATTATTGTTTACAGAAATTTACCAGAATAGATAATATATAGTGTCTGAACCCAAGTCATGCTTCGATAAAGCCAAGACTTCAGATTCTGATTTCTTAGAGAAGAGACAAACCTGGAATCTGGGCTTAGAAGTAACAAAAAGCTTACTTTATTTTATGCTCTAGGAAACTTTTGGCTAATATACTCTCTTACTAAAAACATTGGTGTTCATTTTGTGATGGTTCTGATCCTAATTTTTTTTATTCCTTTCAGCTATAGATGCTTTCCTTTGTGTTGCTTCAATCACATTTAAGCAGAAATATTTCATAGTGTCATTAGTTAGGTAGCAGAAATTACGCAAATTACTAAAATGATATATGGGCTCAACATTCAGTTTTTCTGGGTGCAAGAACATACTACCTTAACAAAGTAGATTTTCATTAAAAACTCAACTTATTCTTGTAAATGCTAAAAAAATATCCTGCAGCCAGGATATTTTTTAACCATCTGAAATTCTATAAACTATTGTAACTTGATTGGTGTGATTCCTCTTTTTTAGTTGAACCTCATTTAAAATCTTGGCTATGATAATTTTTATTGCTTGCAGGCACTACTAAAGAAGGAGGAGCTGGTGCTGTTGATGAAGATGATTTCATAAAGGCATTTACAGATGTTCCTACTGTACAGGTAAAATGCTATATTTTACCGACCTTGGAAGGATGGAAGGCTGAGTCATCTTTGAACCAGTCAGGATTAGACTCCGGGCTCTGGGCAGAATTAGCCACTGCATTCTAACCACTGCACCACCATGGCTCCTATATGACTCCATAATTGTGGTATCACATCTGCTTGCAACCATTTGTATAGATTGGCTCTGGCTAACCACAGGTTTTTTTAACCGCAGTGCACTCAATAAGATACAATAACATTAAGCTATTAAACATACCAAATCTAGTGGCTGTTTTGAACGGTATGGGCTTAGCACCAGAACAACATTCTATACTATAAACAAAGTCTCAATAGCAACAAAATTTATTTATCACACAAAGTATCCAGAGCACAAAAATGTGAATTACCCTACAAATTCATTCAATATCATCATTTATCTTAGTTCAACTCCGGGAAGAGTTCTTACGCATACACTTGTTGTAGAGTTACCGTTTTAATTTTTCTGAATCTTGCATCCTTAATTAGTTATATTCAAATTTGCACTTCATTGCCAAAAGAAACATTTGAACCATTACGTTTGAGACCCGGAAGTAAAACAGACCCAGCATATACATTAAAGAGTTGCTACAAACAATTCTCATTCCATTATTTTTACCACCATAATATCCCTAAAACAAAAAAAACCCTGCTTTGATGATCCTCGACTTACAACAGTTTATTTGAAGTTATAACAGCACTGAAAAAAGTGATTTACAACCATTTTTCATACTTATGATCATTACAACATCACCATGATCACATAATCAAAATTCAGACACTTTTCAACTGACTCATATTTATGACAGTTGCAATGTCCTGGAGTCATGTGATCACCTTTTGCAATCGTCTGATAAGCAAAGTCAATGGAGAAGCCAGATTCAGGTAACAGCTGTATTACTAACTTTACAATTGCAGTGATTCACTGAACAACTGTTGCAAGAAAGGTTGTAAAATGGGGCAAAACTCATTTAACAAATATCTTGCTTAGCAACGGAAATTTGGGTCTCAATTGTAGTCATAAGTCAAGGACTACCTGATCACAGGAAATGATGCATATTATGTTTGCATTCTTTATATAGGTATTTGAAGTTTTCACCCTCCAAAACTGTTGAGCTACATAGTTGATGAACTATTCTTGCTCCTTTCACAATTTCTTAATTTGAGAAAAGAGTGAATATTGTTTATCTGCTTTGTTGCTGAAAAGCTTGGAACCCTTCCATAGAACAAGACCAAGCCCCAATCATTTTCTACCATTCTTTTGAACTTAAATTTTAAAACTGAAGCCAGGAGTGTGACTTTTTTTTTTACTCTAAATTTAAAAGTGAAACTAGGAATACTCACTTGTCTGACCTCATGGGGAAAGGACAGGTATCCAGAAAAAGCTGCTTTGACTCAAAAGCCAAGCAGAAATTAAGGCTCCCTGTCATTTATGAGAAACAAAATAATACTTGAAAATCAGATCTTTGAGCTATTATTTATGACATTTTGAAGTTTAAAACTAACAGTGAAATATTAGCACAAGAAGAAATGCCATTTCCAGGCCAGAGAACATTGAAATAGGACTAAAGACTTTGGACTAATTATGGCTATTCGTTGCAGTCAGGCTAGAGAAGCTCCAAGAATTCCCAGTAATCTAGCAAGTGAGGAGGAAGAACAGACCAAAAGCTTCACTTGTTTTCAGCTCTGGAAATCTAGTTAAATGCTAAGACTAGAAGTAAAAGTAATTTAAAAGGTTGAGAAAAGTCTTTGCTCCTTCAAAACTGAGCACAGACTGCACATTCATAAGCCCCCTTTTTTAGGATGGGAGGCTAGGGCAGGGGTCGGCAACCTTAAACACTCAAAGAGCCACTTGGACCTGTTTCCCAGAGGAAAAAAAACACTGGGGAGCCACGTGCGAGGTAGGGGGAGCTTGATTGAAGAGTTTAAAAAAAAAATAGAGGCTGCTGTGCATGAGTTCTCTCCCTCCCTCTCTCGGATCTTCTGCTCACCTGGCAAGCTGGCTTCACGCTGTTCTCCAACAAGCTGACACACATTCTTATTGGGCTGGCTCTCTCCTGCCCTTGGTCTGCCAGTCCTCTTCCCCCACTCAGAGAGAGAGGGAGGGAGAGAGAGAGAGAGAGAGCTGCTGCTTCCTGCTGAGACGCAGCAAAGGCAGGAACCCCGCCCAATAAGCTTGTCAGCTTGTCCGAGAACAGCGTGAGGCCACTCTCTTTTTTACACACACACACACACAGAGAGAGAGAGAGAGAGAGAGAGAGAGAGAGAGAGAGAGAGAGAAGTGCAAGTGCCTCTCTCTGTCTCTCTCTGCAAATGGCGGAGGAGGCTCAAAGAGCCACATCCAGTTCATCAACAGTAACTGCCTTATTCATATTAGTACTCAATTTCCTCTGGAATGTATTAGTCCACAGATTTATTTATTTTTTTAGGTTTGCTCTTCCAAGTCTTTTTCCTTATACCAAAATGTAATGATTATTATATAATTTAGAGAAATTCAGGCAGTAATATTTTTCTAGTATAATTTCAAAGTAACAGTTTTATTTTTATCTATAGAATTCTATTTTATAGCAGACATGAAAATAATTAAATGAAGTTTAAATAACTTTCCAAAAATCACATTTTTATAGTATCTAATAATTAAATAATTATTTGAGAATTTATTTTCTTATGTTAATATATGCTCTTGTGGTATTAGATTGCCCTCTCTTGGCTGCTGCAGTATAAGCAGGTTGACTTTTATACTAATATATAAACTTATGAAATCAACATTTTTATCACAACTTTTCACAATTGTCTTATGCTAAGTAATTCAGTATTTCAGAATATTTTGTGCATTTCACATTTTTATGTGCTACTTCCAGTCCTCTTTGGTATTTACTGAAACAAAATTATTATCTTTCCATCAGTGTTCATTTCAATGTATGTTTATTGTTGAAAAGTGATATAATCTTGTTCAACATTTATACTGTTTCCTTATGATTTAATTCCACAATCTAAAAATATGAACCACCTTGTTATATCTTGTTATCAATATCCATGTATTTTTCTTAGAATCCCTGTGCTGTACCAAAAAACCAGATTTATTTCCAATTGCTTTCTCTGTTATGAAATTGTATTTTACATTAATTGATTCATAGTTGAGAAGAGATTATCAAAACTAGTAGCAAATAAATAATCTTTGTTAATCATTGTCTTATTCTGCATAATAAGAGATTTCATGGAAATGTAAGAGTATCACATTGGGCACTTCCAATTAGTGAGCCATCCTGCAAGATAGAAATCACAATTTTTTTTTTCAATTATTAATTGGACAAGATATAGCATAACTTGACTGGAAGTTTCCCTTTCAGATTTATTCTAGTCGTGAACTTGAAGAAACGCTAAATAAAATCAGGGAAATCTTGTCAGATGATAAACATGATTGGGATCAGCGCACTATTGCGGTATGTCTTTTTAAATTTTTTTATATATTTTTAAATGTGATTATATAATTATAGCATATTTGCATTTAGAAAAGTTAATATTCTTATTTGCTCTTTCACTATCCCAGCTTAAGAAGGTCCGGTCATTACTTGTTGCTGGAGCTGCGCAATATGATGGCTTTTTCCAGCATTTACGATTGTTGGATGGAGCATTTAAATTATCTGCTAAAGATCTCAGATCACAGGTGGTTAGAGAAGCATGCATCACAGTAGCGTAAGTATAGATCAAGAAAACAAAGTGGCTTGCTGAATTTACAGTGAGGGGAAAAATTATTTGATCCCCTGCTGATTTTGTATGTTTGCCTACTGACAAAGAAATGATCAGTCTATAATTTTAATGGTAGGTTTATTTTAACAGTCAGAGACAGAATAACAACAAAGAAAATCAAGAAAAACTCATTTCAAAAAAGTTACAAATTGATTTGCATTTTAATGAGTGAAATAAGTATTTGCTCTCCTATCAATCAGCAAGATTTCTGGTTCCGAGGTGTCTTTTATACAGGTAAAGAGCTGAGATTAGCAGCACACTCTTAAAGGGTGAGGTATAAAAGACACCTGTCCACAGAAGCAATCAATCAATTAGATTCCAAACTCTCCACCATGGCCAAGACCAAAGAGCTATCCAAGAATGTCAGGAGCAAGATTGCAGACCTACAAAAGGCTGAAATGGGCTTCAAGACCATCACCAAGCAGCTTGGTGAGAAGGTGGGATTATTTGCAAATGGAAGAAACACAAAATAACTGTCAATCTCCCTCGGTCTGGGATTCCATGCAAGATCTCACCTTGTGGAGTTTCAATGATCATGAGAACAGTGAGGAATCAGCCCAGAACTACACTGGAGTATCTTGTCAATGATCTCAAGGCAACTGGGACCATACTCGCTGTGTTTGGAGGAGGAGGAGGAGGAATGCTGCCTATGACCCCAAGAACACCATCCCCACCGTCAAACGTGGTGGACACATTATGCTTTGGGGTTTTTTTTTCTGCTAAGGGGACAGGACAACTTCACCGCATCAAAGGGACGATGGATGGGTCCATGTACCATCAAATCTTGGGTGAGAACCTCCTTCCCTCAACCAGGGCATTGAAAATGGGTCGTGGATGGGTATTCCAGGATGGCAATGACCCAAAATACATGGCCATGGTAACAAAGGAGTGGCTCAAGAAAAAGCATATTAAGGTCCTGGAGTGGCCTAGTGGCAGTCTTCAGACCTTAATCCCATAGAAAATCTGTGGAAGGAGCTGAAGGTTTGAACTGCCCAAACGTCAGCCTCAAAACCTTAATGACTTGGAGAGGAGTGGGACAAAATCCCTCCTGAGCTGTGTGCAAACTACAAGAAACATCTTGACCTATGTGATTGCCATCAAGTATTAAGTCATATTTTGCGAAGATGTCAAATACTTCTTTCGCTTATTAAAATGCAAATCAATTTATAACTTTTTTGAAATGTGTTTTTCTGGATTTTTTTCTTGTTATTCTGTCTCTCACTGTTAAAATGAACCTACCATTAAAATTATAGATTGATCATTTCTTTGTCAGTGGGCAAACGTACAAAATTAGCAGGGGAATCAAATTTTTTTTTCCCTCACTGTAACTGTGAATATTGAGAGTCCTATTGGAAATACACCAGGTGTGCCTTTTTTTTCATTACTATACAGGTAGTCCTTGATTTATGACTATTTGCTTAATACTGCTTTGAATTAGTAACAACATTCAAAAGACCTATAAAGCACTTCTGACCATTGCAAAACATACCACCACCATTGTAGGGACATGATCATGATCTGGGTGCTTGGCAAGCTATTCACATTTATGAGTGTTTTCCATCAATCATGTGATCACCACTTGGCAATATTCTCTGCGGCTTCACTGAAAGTCAAATGGGGAAGCCAGCAAGGAAGATTGCAAGCTGCTGCTGCCTGCCAAGAGGACTCCCTCTCCTCTCTGGAGGCTTCAGAAAGAGCTTGTCTGTTGAAGGATTTCTGTTCTGTTCCTGCTTCAATTTCAGCAACTCACAACAGGCAAAGAACTGAAATCCTTTGGCAGGCAGCTCTTTCAGCTAGCCCCCAGAAGTAAGAGAGATTTTTGATCCCTGAGCAAAGAAGTATCACGTGCCTTAGGAAAATGGGGAAGGCCTGGTGCAGGCCATGCACAAACTCTGGCTGAAATCTTGCTTGTATTTCATCAAGTAAGATTTTCAGCTCCTGAGTGGAGAAGCACTGCAGTAAAGTAAGGATCATGTGGTGCCTCATGGTAGGTAAGACCTTGGGAGGCTGCATCTGTCTTTCCACTTGGGTTGAAAATCCTGTTTGGATTTTGGCAGGGAAGATTTTTCAGCTACCGAACAGAGACATTTGCATGCAGCCTGCATCGGTACTCTCAGAGCCTTCCCCATCCACCTGAGGCACCTAGGACTTCATCTACTTAACCAACCTTGAGATGTCCTAATGACCACAACCAAGAGTGCCAGGATTTCAGTCTTTACGAAAAGCCATCACATGACACCTCATTTAATGACCATTTCATTGACCGAGAATTGTGGTGGTAAGTCGAGAACTACCTTTATAAATAATATAATTGACAAACTATCTGCATAAAAAATAATGTTTTATAACACAGCTCAAAGTTAAGTTAGCCCACTTAACAACTGCCATGACTTACAACTATAATTCTGAGCTTAATTACAGTCATAAGTCAAGGACTGCCTATAATAGAGTTTAGCAGGGTACCTGCTGGAAATGTTTGTTCTTGCACTCAGAGAATAAAAAAGTGTTTATTTTCTCATCTTCCTTCTTGTAATTCTGCACATGCAAAGCATTAAAGCATCTAGGTAAGGATAAGCTTCATATTAGATGGACACAGCTGGTTTTTATGAATAATATAAAGTGTTTAGCTTTTTTAGAGGTATAGGCAGTTTGTCAAAGAGTAGTTAAGGGATCTGAAGTTGGCTTGTGTATGCTCCACTCTTTCCGTCATCCCTGCTTTAATTTAATGTTTCATATGCCTGAATGCATCATGCACAGAAGAGAACAATCCAATCTTTGCCTCTAAATTTTGCTCTCTATATAGTTGCCCTAGATTTTAAAGAATTTGATTTATAATTTCATTACTATAGCAAATTTGAAGATACTGGATGGTATAAATATGTGTAAGCATATATAAAAATGATTATATCTGCTATACTAGATTGAATTCCGACTTTATTGTAACTTTTTTAAATGATTTAAAAATACTGAAATCTTGGTTAATGGCATCTGTCTCATGTGTTAATTATCTATAATCCAGCTGCGTCAAATACTATTGAAATAACTGTGTCTACATAAATTTATTTACCTAATGAAATAATTTGTCTTTCAGTTCTTGCAAATAAATCCAAAAATCCTTCGTAGAAGTGTAGTTCCACTGGATTAAGCATGATGGTTTCTTAATATTACAACTACAAAAATTAAAACAATGATTAAAGTGCACAACTAAAATCATAAACAGACATAGATTGCAGGAAAAATCCAACTAACATAAAATAATAACATAATATAGTAAAAGGTTTAGGATACCAAAATGGATATTCTTGGTACCAAAAAGACAATAAATAAGCAAGCTGTCCCTAAGGACATTCCAAAAGCAGGAAACCAACATTGAGAAGGCCCACTGACTGAACATTGGAGAAGTATGCAGAGCAGGATCGCTACATACAATCCTGAAGTTCTATAGAAACCTACAAGATGTATTCTTTGAAATACTGTATTTCTAAACTGAAACTGGCATGATTGGCTAATATAATATCTTGAATTTTATATAAGAAATGAAATTGGAACCAATAAAAATAACATAAAGCTAGTTTACCAAATGTTGTAGCATCTAGTTCCACCTAATAGATTTTTGCTGACATACTGTTTACAACTATGCATACATACTCATCTCAGTATTTCTTTCCAAAACAAGTAACTTTGCAAAAGGTTATGCTCATATTCTTATTAAAGCATTGTATGGGTTTTTTTCAACACCTTTCATCTAACCACAATTTTCTTTTCTACATTTATCCATTGTTCCTGTGTGTCTGTGTCTGTGTGTATGATCCTCATCCATTCTCTATATGAATAAATCATTCAATGTATTTCTTTCTGACTTGCCATTCATTTTTACCTTTGTTCCTTCAGCACTATTCATTTTTGATTCCATTTCTAGTTGTTTTACTATACAAACTTTTTAAGTAGCTCATGCCCAATGCATTTTACTTTTTATTTTTCTAATACAGGTTGTCCTTGACTTACGACTACAATTGAGCCCAAAATTTCTATCGCTAAGCTAAGTGAGTTTTGCTCCACTTTACAACTTTTTTGCCACAGTTGTTAAGTGAATCATTACATTTGTTAAATTAGTAGCATGGTTGTTAAATGAATCTGGCTTTTCCATTGTTTGTCAGAAGATGGCAAAAGAGGATCACATGACCATGGGGGTCCTGCAACAGTTGTAAGTGTGAAAAACAGTCCTAAGTCACTTTTTCCAATGCCAATGTAAGTTTGAACAGTCACTAAATGCATTGTTGTAAGTCAAGGATTACCTATATAATTATAATCAAGCACTACTATATAATAAAATGGGCAGAAGAATGCTGTTAAACACAGCAATTTTCACTTCTTTTCACAAATACTCATTTCTTACAACACCTTTCTATTGCTGTATCTGAAATTACCAGCAACCTTCCAGGGCAATCTCATACATAGCATCTTTCAGTTCTCTTAAGCAAAGTATCACCATGGTAGGAGTCTAGAATGAAAACTTAATTTTTGAAGGGCTGTGTACATATTATTTAAAAAAAAAAAAAGCATTCCATCAATCCTAACTGGCTAACGTTGGCTGACTAGTGTAGGGGAAGGAAATTTGGATTAAGGTATATGTTAATGAAATCCAGTAGGAAAGTTCTTAAAAAATTATGACAACTAATGGGTTTTGGAAAATTGAATATTCTGGAAAGCATTTTGTGATATAATGAATTGTTAAAAGTTTTTATATTGGCAGTTGAATGGATTTTGATAATTTGCTTTGTTTCATTCTTTCCAGCCATCTTTCAACAGTTCTGGGAAACAAATTTGACCATGGAGCAGAAGCCATTGTGCCTACTCTATTCAATCTGGTCCCTAATAGCGCCAAAGTAATGGCTACTTCTGGATGTGCAGCCATTAGATTTATTATCCGTGTGAGTATATTTCTATGTTACTTTAAGAAGCTATTGCCAATTAGGCATATAACTTATTGATTACTAATAACCAAGCATTATTTTCAGCAAAATAAACTGTATATTTGCAATGTGTAGACAATCATCTATGGTAATAAAAATGCTTTCTTTCAAACAAACAATAAAAACCCAAATATAGGTAGTCCTTGACTTACGACCACAAATGGGACCAGAATTTGTGCTGCTAAGCAAGACAGTTGTTAAGTGAGTCACCCCAGTTTCTGACCTTTTTCCTATGGTTGCTAATCACTGTAGTTGAAAATGTCTATGGAGATTCCCAGTCATCCAGGTCATAGTTGTCCCAAAGATGCTTTTTCACAAGGCAATTGGATTTTCTTGTTTTTCTTTGAAGACGTTTCGCTTCTCATCCAAGAAGCTTTTTCAGCTCTGACTGGATGGTGGGGAATGGAAGGATTTATACTTTTTGCAGACAGCTGATCATTTGCATTCTTTTAGAGACTCATTGAGGCCACCTGGAGGTTTATCCGTGTTGTCAGGGTCACCTGAGTAGTACAGATAGGCACACTACTTGGAATGCTGAAAGGACTATGTTATAGACTGGAGATAAATGATGTCGTATCCGTCCTCCTCTGTTGAGAGAGGGCTGTTCAATTTTGACATAGATGGCCTCTTTGAACCTCTTTTAAATCAGCAATCCTCTCTGTCCAAAATGTGGGCTTTGCTGTTTTCGAAAGAGTGTCCTTTGTCTTTTAAATGCAGATGGACTGCTGACTCTTGTCCTGATGGGTTTGTTCTCCTATGTTATGCCATGCGTTTATGAAGTGATTGTTTTGTTTCCCCAATGTACAGATCTGCACATGGCTCACTGCATTGTACTGCATATACCATGTTGCTCAGTTTGTGTCTGGGTGTTTTATCCTTGAGGTGGACAAGCTTCTGCCTTAGTGTATACTTGGGTTTGAAGTGTGCACGTATGTTGTTTTGGCTGAAGATCCTTCTGAGCTTTTCCAATATTCCAATATTGCAGTTGAGAAGTGAATCTTGGTTGTTAAGTGAATCAAATGGTTGCCAAACAAATGGTTGTAAGTCGAAGACCTATAAAATCAAAGTGGATAACTTAAAATGAAGGTATAGATAGTTCTTGAGTTATGACAACAACTGGAATTGGAATTTCCATTTTACTAAGCGATGTGGTCAAAAAGTGTGATGTCACATAACCACATTGTTTAGTGACAGCAATCCCTGCAGTCTCCATTGCTGTCCTTAAGTGAGGATAATGGGTTGCTAAGGAGTACTTCCTCACAACTTTATCCCAGCTTCCAACAACTAGAAGTGGAAAAACTGGCAGGAAGCTGCAAATTACATCAATCAATAAACATAAAAGCAGATGGGATTTTTTAATCTTAATTTTCTGCAACATTTCAGTCAGAATGCCCTCTCTTTATGTATATTAAATGTGGTACAGTATATAGAATACACATTTTATATGGGATTATATAATTTAAGTACTACCATCTGGTATTTAATTGGTTTATTAATTAATTTTAGTTTGATTAAAAATTGGACTCATGTTCATTTGAAGTCCTTCTTTGAGAGAAGATTGTACATACTTTTAAAGATAAACATTAAAAGAGCTGTTTTTAATATTTTAATTTTAAGAGATTGAAATGTATCTATCCAAAACTTTAAACCTATAAAAACCATATTCCAAATAAATTGCAATTAAAGTAAGACAAATTATACCAAGAGCCTTTATTGTTTTGTGTTTTATAACTTCATTTGTTTGTGAGACACTCAGAAATGGATATACTGTACAGAGATTAATTTGTTAACATTTTTTCTGTTGAATCCATTCAACTATATTTCAAGAGATTTTTTTTTCTTTTCAGCATACACATGTGCCAAGACTCATACCTTTAATAACCAGCAACTGTACTTCAAAATCTGTGGCAGTAAGGAGGTGAGGCTTTTGAATTTTAACCTTTGAAGGTTATATTAACCAACGTTAGAAAAAATATGAATATCTCTAATAACAATTTTAAACTCTAGCAGTGTAGCATGAAATCTGTCAGTGTCAAAACTATAATCTGGCACTTACTTGTGGGTAAGCCTCACAATGTCATCAGGACATCACATGAGAAAACATGAATAAGATTGCCTGTAAATCTTGAAACACTAAAAATTAATGGTAACTATATTTATAAGTCTGGCAGAAATCTAGATAAGATAAGATAAAATAACCTTTATTGTCATTTTTTTTACTGTAGGCACAATGACACACATCAAAAAATGAAATTTAGTTGCCCGCTCTCAAAGTGAAACACATACATGACACACACTTAAACATACTATGTACAACATATGTATAGACCCATACCCCTACATATACATAACAAATAAATATTAAATACTGTCCATCTTGAATATATAACGGAAGGAGGAAGCTTGAGAGTTCACAAGGTTAATGCTGTATGGAATGAAACTATGGCTGAGTCTGGATGTTCAGAATTGTTGATTTTTCCCCTATAATCTGACATGAAGTACATTTTAAGGAATGTTTATAGGCATATATTTCAAAATGTAATAAATGGAAATCAATATTAAGAATGACTTCTGCCATAAAATATAGCTGCATCTAGGAGGGATATTTTTATGAATTTAGATATAGGACTTTCCTGACAAGTAATTATCAAGTTACAACAGTAATTGGGACCAGAATTTCCATTGATAAGTGATGCGGTTCTAAAACACAAGGTCACATGACACATCTTTGCTATTCCTTATAAAAATATCATTTTTTAATTATTAAATGTTGAGTTGTATGGACCATCCAGATTTAACTCAAAGAAAGAGTTAATAGAAGGGGATAAAGAAATCATGATGCCTCCTTCTAAATTCAGTATAATTGTTTGTTTGTCAAATTCCCTGACTTCTAGTAATTAAAGCCTTTTAACAAGTTAGAATCTTTACCTTTTGTAACTAATTCAAATACATTTAGAACTGAATTTAAACCTTTTATTTTCTAGGCGCTCTTTTGAATTTCTAGACCTATTGTTGCAAGAATGGCAAACCCATTCTTTGGAAAGGTAGGATTTGTGCCTCTTTTTTAGTTCATAAAAATGGTTCCTTATTTATGAAATAAGTTTCTTCTGTACTTTTAAAATACAAAATATTTTATTTGTTTCATAAAAACTATGAATCTTTTCTAAAAACAATGTGATCTAGACTTGAGGCTCTCTCTATGGTTGTATCTCTGTGTGTATATGTGTGTGTGTGTATGAGAGAGAATTGTTCATATTATTGCATTAATGCAAGAAGCATTTGAAAAATTTTAATGAAAGAGTATTGGCAAAAGAAGTCTAGGTGCACTGTTTCAAATATATATTTCAGTTGCCTTACATTGTGATGATAAACAGTATTGTAATTGGTATGAGATTTATTCAGAACCCTGTATATGATCTGATGAAAAAATGTTATGTACTAGAAAAACCAATGCATTCCAAACTGGCTTAACACTGGAAGCTTTGTTTGTTACCTTTTTTGTTTGTTACCTTCTTTTCCTTTAACTGTTCCCTATTTTCTCTTTCATTGATAGAGAAGGGATAGAGAAAATAAGTATATCAGCTTCTCTGTGTGTAGTTTTAATTAAATATGTCAGGGAAATGTTTTGGAACAGATATTGCCTCAAATATGTCAATTTTGAATTGTATTGCTAACAGGAATAAACATAGTATTCTATATATTACTGGAGTGCATTTAGCAGTTTTCCATATAATTTAAACTTTCCTGATAAATTTTACAGTTTTTAGATGAATTTAGTTGCCATCTTTATGCAGATTCATTGAAATAATCAAATGTTTTCGTACTGGTTAATTCAGCTTCTTATATTTTCTGCAAAAAGAAAAAAAATAGTTGATACAATTTATTATTGTTGATCACACAGTCAAATATTTAGACTGTTTTTGTCACAGGATGTAAGTTGTTCCAGATAAAACCGCCTTTTATAAATGACTGATGATTTTGTTAATGTTGATAGTTGTTCAAGTAGTCCTCCATATGTTTTGGAGCTGCACCCAGGGCATCCATTTCTATTAGAACTAACTTATTTTCTTTTTCCACAGTCATTCTACTTCTATTTGCAAGTCTTTGTATTTTGTGATATTATGATGTTTCGTTGCAGTCAGCCAGATGTTTAGAATGAATTAAGATTCCACCTGTTGAGTCCTTCCCAAGGAACTGGGATAGAAAGATGTTGTTGTTTGGTAATGTAAATTTATTATTGTGGTTGTCACACAGTCAGTTTAGATTAGAGTTGGCATTTTTATCCACCTATATAATTCTTCCAAAGGACCTGGGATAGACAGATGTTGTTATTTGATGGTGTTAAAAGTATTATAGGTTGTAAGCTATTTCAAGTAAAGTTGCCTTTACTTTGATTTTGTCAATGCTGTTCAAGCAATGCTCCAAATGTTTTTCTTAGTTATTCTACTTCTGTTTGCAAATGTTGTACTTTGTGATTTTCTCCAGTTCTTTCTCTTCTATCTGCTGTCTCCAGGTACTCCTAAGTCTACTAGCCAGATTTTTTTGCCTAGGATGCTATGTGGCAGGTGCTTCTCTGTTTGAATTCTAAATCCCAAAGCAACTTAGCTTCTTCATTTTCTATTACTTAGTTTATTTTGTACCATTTCCTGCTTAAGAATAAATAGTATTTCTTGTACATCTTCTAATGCACCATTGTTGCTATTTTTTCATGCTGTTGTTTGCAGTTCATCAGTGCAGTCTTCTTGCAGCTAACTAGGTGGTCCAGTGTTTCTTCAGCTTCTTTGCAGAGATGGCATTTGCTATCTGTACTGTCTTTTCAATTCTGACTTTGTAGACATTTGTTTTAAGGCTTGGTCTTGTGCAGCCTGAAATAGCCCCTCAGTCTCTTTCTTCAACTTTCCTGTCTCAGCTATTGTCAGGTCTTGTTATTATCTGCTTTGCCTGCTATTTTTATTTGCTGGCCATGTACTAGCTTCAGTGAATTGTTCATACTTTTCCTTATTTCTAATGCTCGTTTTTTAATGTACTGGCAATGAAATATTTTGTCTTGCCAGCTCTCTTTTCTGTTCTTCATTTAATCTTTTTAGTAGATCAGTTTGGCCTCTCTGTTGGCCGCAGAGCCATGTGAATGGCTGGCCAATGTGCGCAAGTGCATGCACTTCCATGGCCACAGTTCTGTGAGTATCATGGCCATTCACAGCCCCACAGATGTTTACCCCTCCCACAAAGCAATCCCTTCTTCCACCCCTCCTCCCACTCCAGGTCACCAACCCTGAAAAGTTGGGGAATCCTGCTTTACTCGGTAAGCCTTCAGTGCATCTTCTTCACTGTCCTGCAGACATTCTTCCAATGCTTTGTGTGCACATGATAGGAAATTGGGAGGGGGGGCAATGACAGGTGAGAAGGACCAGAAAAGCTGGATCCTGTTTGTACCAGCATCCCACAGCCCAGGCACCCTGAGAAATATGCAGATTACCTCCAAACGTCTCAAGATTTCTCAAAACATCTTGGCGAGCTCCAGTTGGCTGGAAACAGACTGGTCATGGGGGGAGGGATGGGCTAGGGAGAAAACCTACCTTTTATTTTTTGTATCCAGCGTGTGTGGATTTCAGAGCTGGCTTGGCTTTACTGCAACCGTCACTCTTAGTAAAAGAAACCCTTACTTTAATCAAAGGGAGTGAAAGGCTTTTCTTTCGTAATTGGGGATTGGGGCAGATCTGATATTAAGCCAGCTCTGCAGTTGTGGTCAGCCCAGAGAGGAACTCTGTGGGGACTATGCAAATGATGTCAGTTCAAGGGAGTGACTAGGAAGACTTTGAGGCCTGTGAGGAAGCATCCTCAAAACCTTCTTCTGGAGGGCTGGATCTGTCTGGATGGATGGGAGAGGACAACCCACCAAGATCCCGATGGTCCCTTGGTGTCAGGAAAAAGGAAGAATGGGAAGAGAAATCCATAGGAATGACATTCACCCATAGAAGGTGAGACAGCCGCCAGCAAGAGACCCAGAACTGGAGGAAGAATTGAGCACAGGCAAGCCAGAGCAAGAGGACTGGATGCTAGAGCAAGACATAAACTTCATGAGGCGCTCATTTGGTAGTTTCAAATCTCGAGAAGCCTAGCCCGGGCGGCACATCCCACTGACCGGCCAACTCCAGCCACAGCAAGTGAGGGGGCAACTACCTCTGTCACCACAATGGCAGCCGCAACAAGCCCCTCAGCAACTGCAACCGCCCCAGCACCTGACCTCGCTGCCCAGCCTGTACCAGCTGTAGGAGCAGAATCAACAAATGGAGAAGACCCAACACACCAGCCCTGGGAGTAAAGTTCAACTGAGATCCCCAGCAATTGGGGTTCTTCCTGGCACACGTTTGGACATACGTGCAAGAGTATGATCCAGAAATAGCCACCAAAGGGGCTAAGGTGCAGTGTGTGACCATGGTGTTAGGGGGAGCTGCAGCTGAATGGATGGTCACCCTTCACAACAATGACAGAACCAAGAAACCTCGATCACTTCATAGTTGCACTTTGGAAGAGCTTCAAAGACCCTCTAGCCAATCACACAGCCAGAGATTGCATAAAAACCATTAGGCAAGGAGACGGTGATGGCCGAGTACAGCCATGAGTTTTGCGACCTGGCCTTTGGACTGACTGACTGGCCGGAAGACTTCTTGATCGGATGCTTCCAAGGCAGGCTAAATGACAAGGTCTGCAACACCTGCATTTCCAGAAGTGTCCCCCCCCCCAACCTCCATGACTGGTATGTCCTAGCAGAGGAAGTGGAAATCGACCTGGCTCAATCCAGATATTGGCCAAACCGTGGATGGCGAAGATCCTCCCATGAAAAGAAAGAGGCCCCAAAATCAGCGCCATGTGAGCAGAGCCCATGCTGCCAATCCATTGGCTGCTTCAGGTGTGGGAAGGAGGAGCAGCAAGCTGCCAACTGCCAAACTGCATGCCCAGCTACGAAGGCAACTCAGGCTGCTGCCCCAAAACCAGAGAAACCACAATAGCAAGCCCATGAAACCTCCTTAAAGGGAGTGGAAGTCGTAGAATTCACCCCATTGCCCAAGAGGATGGGAGAACCCCAACTGATCCAGCGGGGAACCCAGTGGAAAACAAGTCAAACTACGACAATGATCCCTACATTGCACAGTCAATCGGTGACCATCCCCATAGAACTGAAGGACATGCTGGCCCATTTGGTCAAAGGAAAGGTCTTCACCAGGTTGGATTTGCAGGAGGCCTACTACCAAGTGAGGATCAAAGCAGGGGATAAGTGAAAAACGGCTTTCAGTTGTCTCTTAGGTTGCTTCCAGTTCTGGGTCCTCTCTTTTGGACTACAAGGGAACCCTGCTATGTTTATGCAGCTAATAAACTAAGTGCTGCATGAATACCTGGGAGTTAATTTACCTGGACAACATTTTAATCTATATTGAGATCATGGCAGAACACGTAAAACTAGTCAGAGCTGTGCTCAAGAAGCTTCGATGGTTGAACTATATGCCAAGCTATCCAAATGCAAATTCCACCAGAGTAAAATTGATTACCTAGGTTACTGCATCTCCCATGAGGGGATAGAGATGGACCCCAAAAAGATGCGGGAAGTGCTTTTCTTTTCTAAGGGATCAGATTGGGGCAGGTCTGAAATTAAGTGCTATTGCTATTTATAGTGATATATTTTTATCAAAATAACTCTTGAGGTTATTTCCATAGGACATCTTGATTCCTTCAGTTTCACTATTTTTCCTCTATTACTGGCGAGGTGGCACATTTGTGTAGTCCAGACTCCATTGTAATATCTTGGCTGTATATTTGGAAACTATTGAGCAGTGATTCTATTTCAGATAGTGTTTTTCTATCATTTCAGATCATCCATGTAAAAGGAGGTAGGATAGCTTGGCAGATGTTTTTGATGTTTAGTAGCCATGGCCTACTATTGACAGAGGAATCAGTGCAGTTGTGAATTATTATTATGATTGATTGCACAGTCAACCAGATATTTAGAATAGATTTGGCATTTTTATGCACCTATCGAATCCTTCCCAAGGACCTGGGATAGGTAGATGTTGTTGTTTGATTGTGTTATCATTTCAAATTTGTTATAGTTGGCCAACTTTAATGCACTCTAATTTTAACAGCATCTCTTAATAAACTGTGAAATCATATTTGTAATAATGATCATCTCAGTCAAATATAGTTCTAAAATTGCTTTTTGCATTCAAACATTAGATCTGTAACTGAAATCCTCTCCTCTAAAGAGAAACATTTCATTTATAGAAATTTATTTTTGAATGATAACAGTTAAGTCTAATTTTTGTCAATGATAGTGGAAAGAATTGTAAATAGTTTTTTTATATTTCCTAGAAGAGAATTTTTGCACACTCATATCTATACACTATTCTTTTCTTATCTGATCAAGATCACATATTCATTTTTTTCTGGTTAATCTTGGACTTCGTTTTTCTTTTCCTTACTAATATATCCACCTTAATTAATGATTAATATCTCAATAGGGAATCCATCTAATTCTGGTGTTTTACATCTTGTCTTTTTTAAACTTCTACTTCAGATAGTGGAGCAAATCCAAGTTGTTTTTGTAATCTACATATGGTAGCTTAATTTTATTTTTTAAAAAAACTAAATATCTTCATTCAATACATTCTCTGGATTACTATATAAGTCTGAATCAAATTTTAAAAATTGACAGTTTATATCTTATTAAAGTTTTATAGATTTCATCTCTTTCACCTCTAATAGTTGGAATCATTGCCTTATCTTTCTTTTGTATTAACTAAGATCTTACCAGATCTTTCACCATTCTCCCAATATCTCTATGAGAAACATATTAACATGAATTCTGTCTATTTATGATATACTGCAGAATTGCTATCTTGCTAGAATTTCAACCCATAATCCTCATTCCGGTGTAAACCAAGAGCTTCCAAATTTCTTTTCCAGATTTCCTGCAGAACTCAGACATATCTTGACCCCAGATTTTATTATATCTCCTCACTAGGCTTTTCCCAATGTTGTCCCAAAGCAGGGAGATATTGTACTCTTTTATGTGTGACTCAAGACAAATCATCAAATCATTTGCTTGTCCATATTAGTCCAAGTACTAATTAGAACCATTTAGCATCTGGGTCTGGGTAAAGCTGGCAAGGTTCTCTACTCTTATTTGAGAACTTTCTTGCATTCATTATCTAATTTTTTTCAAGAAACAGCAACTCCTCTGATGAAGTTAAGATAAATTGGAAGTAATATTTATTTCTGGTTTTCCCTTACAGGCATGCAGCTGTTCTGGTTGAAACTATCAAAAAGGGCATTCATGATGCTGATGCTGAGGCAAGAGTGGAGGCACGAAAGTAAGATTAATTTAAAGTTAGGCTTAACTAATTTTGAAAACATTGATACTTTTTAGCAGAAAAAGATAGCCCCCATATTTAAGAGGGGAGTTTCTAGGGTTTATACATATTGTTGATTTTTAATTTTGTATGCCACAAGGTGTCATTGTGTGTTAGTTGGGTGGTTACATACATTTATTTAATAAACAAATAAATAGATTTATGTGACGATCCACTAACATACAATGACTCCAGGGAGCATACACAGTAAGTTAATAGTTATTGTTCTTTTCCATTTTAGCTATTTACGGAGACACAGTTTTGTGATGTTGAGAGTTTTCTCATTTTTTAAAATGTTAGAAAGATTATTTTTTTACTAGTGTTGGAAGATTATTTCTGTTTCCAGAAATGTTTTCCTTCCTCTAATAAATTTTATGTTGTTTCTTTCAGGACTTATCTGGGCCTAAGAAATCATTTTCCTGGTGAGGCAGAAGTTCTATATAATAATCTTGAACCATCCTATCAAAGAAGTCTCCAGACTTACTTAAAGAATTCTGGTAGCATTGCATCACTTCCACAGTCAGATAGGTCATCTTCCAGCTCACAAGAAAGTCTAAAGTAAGTATCAATCTAGAAGAAAATACTTTTATCCACAAGATCTATATACAGTCCGCTTCAGATTAGGGCATTTTTCTTGAACTTATTTCCACCTACAGAATAAGAAACTATAATATTGTCAACCTTGCGGGGGAGTCTAGACAAGAGGCACTCCTAGACATAGCAGCTCTAACTTTATTATTTCATTAACAGATTTCTTTAACAGAATATTGTAAATCTGAAAGTACATTTCTCACCTCTCACCTCTACAATCCAAAAGAAACAATCCAAAAGAAACTAGGGAGAGTCTCTTCTCAGCCATTTGCCATATCCACAGTCCTGCAGGTTCAGCTGCCTCTTATCTGACTTTTGCCTAGTCTTCAGCTCTTACTCTTGCCTTCCAAGGCCATTTCCACTTGTTATTACAGATAAAAATGTATTTTTAATGTAATATATCTTCACTGCCTTATTTAGATGGGACCTATCTTTCAGTGCACATTCAATATTAGGTAGTAATGTGAAAGCCTATAGCAGGTTTTGTGAAATAGTGACACAGAATTGAGCTTTTCAAGAAAGTGTTTCAAGATTTTTTTCCCCCAAAGAAAATAATGTTTCCTGATTAGAGTTTTTATAGAAGTTTAAGTGTATTGAAGAGAACAGGAAATGTTTACTCTTTTATATATATATATAACAAGTTTTATTGGTTTTTTAACTTTTACAACAGATTGCTCAAGACACACCGTGGTGGTTAAGTGATCAATCATCCAAAAACAAAATCATATAATAGCTCAAATAAATACATTAAATGTTCCCTCTCTATTTCCCTCAAATAATATAACCTATTTAACACAATCCATTTGTACATTACATATCTATAAATCCTAATCCTGTTTTGAACTTTATTAATTTACAGTTACCATAGTCCAATTTAATCTTAGATAAACGTATTATCACTTCGGGTATTCCTTCTAAAATACTAATCCATTTTTAGTCCTTTTTAGTGTTTCGTTAATCAGACATATGACAGATATATTCTAATTCATAATCTCATAAATCATTGATTTTATCACAAATCTCTCTTATTTCTTCAGATAGCATTTAAATCTCATTCAAAAAGAACGCACCTATTATTACACAAAAAAAGTCTTACTAACTTAACACACTCAATTAGTTGTTAAAGCAATCCGAATTTCTAAAAACCTTTCATATTCTTATTCTCATTCCATTACAAAATAATTTTCATACAAATAAACATATTATTCCAAAAAGTACATTCTTACTCTGTTTAACATATCTATTCTAATAATCACAAGTTTTCAACTCTAAATCTTAGTCCTAAAATCAATCCATATTTCTCAACCTTTTTAATCCATTACATATAATTTTAAATTTTTCTTTTTAGTCTTGTTCTGGCTTTCTTTTTATGCCAAGCAGGTTTCCATAACAAAGCCTCTATTTCAGCAAATAGATCTCCCGTTATTGCTTGTAATGTCATTTGGGTCAGTAAAAGACTTCCCATCCTCTGTTTTTGACGCCTGGCTCCTGTCTGCTGGATAAAACACTCGATCATGTCCAATTTTATAATTAATAGATGATTATCAAAGTTGTCATAATTCTCCAACAGTTGTAGTTTCAAGTGCATTTCTGTTAGTTTTGCAATTGTAGATAGTTTAGTTACAATCATTTTCTGGTCGTCGAAAGTCTCCATAGGTTGTATGTAAATTAATTCCTCTTCTATTGCTTTTTGGTCTGTAGAATGATCAGATAGAGTCTGAAGGTCAGTTTGTAGGTTCACAGTAGAATTTCTGTTTATTATTTCTGCAGTTCTCTCTTATTTGGGAACATATTTCCTTAGTAGCTTCATAAATTTTTTCCAGTATGAGTTTACAGTTGAGTTGTAAATATGGTTTCTCCATTCCAACAAGAAATAGTTGCAGTTTTAAATTTCTCCACAAGATGTCCTCAGTAAACTATGAAAGTCTCTTCCAGACACCAAGAATGAGATTAGCAAAGTCAAAGAGCTATGAAATCTCTTTTCCGGCTTCTCATAGAGTTATTGTTCTTTTTTTTTTCAAACAATAAAGATTTATCCCTTTAAAAAAATAAGTCCAAGACATAGGAAAACAATATTCTCCAGCTTAGAAGATATAATAATAAAGTTTTATGATAAGGATTTTTCCAGGGCCCCCAAGTAACCAAAAATAAAAATAGTCAATAAGAAGTTTTTTTCCTTTGTTATGGAAAGCTCTTTTCCCCAGATAAACAAAGGCAGCTCTTTCAAAGCAGGGAAGTAATTCCAAAAGGCTTTTAACAAGACAGTAGTTAAGCAAAAAGAGAGAGGGAAAAGTCTCACCTGGATCATCCACGATGGTTTCTTAACGCTGAGATGTTCTTTTGACTTTCGGCTGGAGCAGCTAAATGATCGGCCATGTTACTGGCCGATCTTTTCTCCGTCGGCCCTGAGGAGCTGCCTTGGACCTCGGAGGGAGCTGCCTCCTCCCCCCGCAATCAATGAGAGTCCTCCTCATCGGTAGTCACCCCTCCAGGGTGACTTTTCAACTCAATTAAGGGTCTACCAACAGAGGAAAGATAGATAACAAAGAGAGAAGCCTCTTTGTGTACCTGCAGCTACTGCAACCCAAAACCGGAAGTCAGGAAATGTTTACTCTTTTGAAATGTTCAATAATTTGCATTACTAAAACTATTGTTTTGCTTTTTCCCCCCCAGTCGTCCCTTCTCTTCAAAATGGTCCACCTCCAGTTCTGCAAATATGGCTAACAGAGGTAATTTGCTGTGTACCCCCAAAGAGTTACTCAGTGTACTAGACCAGGTGGAATTTAAAATTGTTAGAAATAATTTAAGCAAATCTCTTGAGGATTTTTTTAAACTGTCAGCGTGAGATGGGAATCTTAATATGCAGTTTTCTGTTTTATCTCAGTTTCAAGTGGCAGCAAAGCTGCTCCGACCCTAGGAACACTGCAGAGGTCTCGCAGTGACATTGATGTTAATGCTGCCGCTGGGGCAAAGGCACGTCATGCTATTGGTCAGCCATCAGGAACTGGTCGTTTAGCAACTGCTGGTCTATCTCCAGGATCATATGCTTCACTAGGTAGGAAACATGTTCAATATACAATAAACCACATCAGAATTTTTCTTGTATATTGAAAAGCTATTTTCCCTTCATTTACAGTTATATCAGTGAATTATCTAAGTTTGTGAATAAAGATTTATCCAGCAATGAAGACATTTATTAATTTATAGTAAATGATATTGACACTGCTTTTTCCATATTATTCAATGTTTTCTTGTTAGGTGTCAATGGAGATTCTCAGTCATCCAGGTCATGGTTATCCCAAAGGTGCTTTTTCAAGAGGTAATTGGACTTTCTTGTTCCTGAAGAAGCTTCTTGAATGAAAAGCGAAATGTCTTCAAAGAAAATAAAGTCCAGTTGCCACTTGAAAAAGCACCTTTGGGATTTTCTTGTTAGGTTGAAAAATTTTGCAGCTAAAAATAACCTTCTAATTCAGAAAATATAAAAATCAATACACGTTTAACCTATTAACATGTTTAATAGTATGTAAGATGAGCAAACTTGCAGCTGGAATATACTAATTTATATTTTTCATATGCTTGCTCTCATAAGATGCTGGCATATGAATTTATTCTAGGGTTTTGTAATAACAAATGTGAAACAAAATAAAGCAGTATGAGAAACTAGTTTAATTAATAAAGATTTTTTTATGCCTCCACTTAATAAAATTAGGGGAATTCATTACTCTCTTTTCTTGTTGAGAATTATATCATTTAACATTTTTCTTATTCTTATGTTAGTAACTGCGAAATTCTTACACAATGAAAATTATAAACATTTATATTCTTTGCAGGAAAGGGGGAATAAAACTCATACCAATTCTTTTTCATGTTAAGGGGCAAGCAATAAGATAAAAAATTAGATAGATATGAACAAGTGTGTTCAGTTTGCAATTATTTACCGTTTTAAATGATATCCATTTTAAATGATATCATTTAACAGTTTTAAATGATATCCGTTCAGTATATAAGCCTTAATTTAGAATTATTAAAGCAGTTGTCAGTCCGTACATCTGGGCTACAATAGTCAGATGTCCAGATCTGGATTGGTATAGCTTTTTGAAATAAAAAGTGTGTATCCTCTTTATTTTTTGAAGTATTATTGTATCAGTTGGGTTCCTCACTTTCTCAATAAGGCAAATGAGGTTTTGAGTTTTTCCAGATGGCAGCTGGAAAGAGAAAGAGCTTCTTCCACTCAGCTCTCCATCCTGACTTTTTAAAAAACTTTTTTGTTGTTTCTACTGGAAAAAGAGAATGGAATGGGTGTTTTATGAGAATCAATTAATTTTATATTATTTTACACGCAATTTGTATGAAATGTATATTTGCCTCCTCACCCAGCTCCCTTTTTAAAGTGGGGTGAAATGTGTCATAGGAGGTATTTATTTGTATCAGTCTATGGGACATCTTCTTGAAATACATTTATTGGGCTAGGAGAGAGATTGCTACTGTGTTTCCCCGAAAATAAGACCCAATCTTATATTTTTTTGATCTTATTTTGGGGGGATGTCTTATCGTAGCACTACCGCAGCTAGGCCTCCCACGCCCCGACACCTGTCGTGCCACTGCCCAAGTTCTTTTGTGGCTGTATGCCACATGGTGCATTGCACCGTTACTTGCAACATAATGTTCATCGCGCACAAGGCTCTTCATGCTACTGCCACTCGCACCACAAGGCTCATTGTGTCAATCATGCTACTGCCACTGCTCACACCACAAGCCTCGTCGCACCAATTGCACCGCTGGTGCTGCTGCTCACAGAATCAAGTCTTAGCTTGATTTTTAGGGGTGGGCCTAATATAAGCCCTACCCCAATAATAAGCCCTAGTTTTGGGGCGAGGCGCATGCCTAAAAATCAAGCTGGGGGTGGAGCTGCCCCACGTGTCCCGCACCCATTTACCAGGCCTCCCATGAATCGACACCTGCCTCTCCTCACCGGCCCACTTCTTCTGTGGTGTCCCCTGGCCTGCATTTTGCAGTCAGAGGCTTTTCTGGAAGTTCTCTGCAGCCGAGAACCAAGCTATGGATTGAATCCGTAGCTCAGTTCTTGGCTGCAAAAGCCTTTCCAGAAGGTCTCTGATGGAGCTCCATTCTCAGCTGCAGAATGAAGCTGCTCCTTCGGCCGCAGAAGAAGTGGGTGGGTGGGGCTGTCGGTGCCGTGGCAACAAGGTGGGTGGAAAAGACACCCCCCAAAAATAAGATCTGGTGCCTCTTCTGGAGGCAAAAAAAAAATAATAATAAGACTGAGTCTTATTTTGAGGAAAACACAGTAGTATGTCTAAATTGATAATATTAGAAAGCTAGGTATTGCATACAAATTTCATCTGTGTATGTTATTTATTGCCTATTTTTCACTTGGGGGCAATTGTTTTCAGCATCGTATTTTTTTCAAGTTAATATGTATATTATTCCACAAATAAAAGAAAACAAATATAACTTATGTAGATTTATTTTAGGGTGTGGTCTTTTTTCCCCCTATAGCATTAAAATTCTAGTTTAATGTATTTTATTGCGTCAAACTTTATAAACACTGATTCTTTGTATATTTAAAAAATATTATTGTAACAAAATAATAGCCAAACCTTGGCTGTTTGTTGAACTAGTCATGCTTACTATTTAACTGATTTTTTTTTTTAAAAAATCCATAAGTTTCCTATTCTACTATCTTTATACTAGTGAATTTTCTTTCTTCTTTAGGGTTGTGATCTCAAATAATTGTTCATTTGAATAGAGTCCAAACATAAATATATTTTAATTCCACTAAAATCTGTGGAAGATTTTAATCATAAGTAACTTAAGTCCCACTGATTTCCGTTTAGAAAAGCATGCCTAACCAGGTTTAGATCCAGTTTATAAATCATACATGCAGATCTATATGCAGCTCTGTGTGCATCCTGCAAAAATAGGATACTCTGGCTCTTTTTTAGCCTGAACTGTCAAATGTCTATGTCAAGTCCCCAACCCCCGGTTCACGGAGCAGCATCAGTCCACGGCATGCCAGCAATTGATCCGTGCAAAAAAACAAAGCCCCAGCCATGGGATGCAGGCAGCATGTGAAACCATGCTCCCTCCGGTCCATGGAAAAACCTTTCTCCATGGAACCAGTCCCTGGTGCCCAAATAATATCTATGTGATATTATGACAACAGAGGTATTAATAAAATTCTTTATTTTTAGCACCATTGGTACTGGATACTAAGTTTCATTAATAAATTTGGAACTGCTTGTTTGCTAATGATTAGTATGTGCATGATTTCAGTATTTAAATGTTTGTAAATTACTCATATCAATATATGAGTATTACATTGATTGCCTTAATTAAGATTTTATAGTTCCTTGTCAGTAGTTTGTCTTAACACATTAAGTTTTCCTGTTTCTTTGCTTGCTACTCCAAAAAAAGAGGACACTTCTGATAAGATGGATGGTAAGAGCCTGTTTTGTCTGTCAATTTCTAAAACAACTGATTTTGTGACTTCTGTACACATAGCAAATTCAGTTTGAATAACACACTCACCTGACTTCTAAATAGTATTGGATTTTCTTATTAAAGATTGATATAAGTAGATATGTGGGCATATGTCTGTGCAGCTCTATTCCAGTGCTGCTTTAGATAAGATTTATTAATATGACTTGTACAGTATTGTTTATTTTTGCAAAGCTAGTCTTAAATACTTGAGCAAGGGCATACCTTGATTTTTCTTACTATCAGTAAAATAGTTGAATTTAAATTGCAATATTTAACCTTAAGTTTTGTGTGTTAATATATAACACATATAATTCATTTTTAATAACCATCTATTATTTTTTGTTTTTGTTTAGTTCTGTTTTTTAATTTTTAATTCTTTATTAATTATTATATAATGGTTTTAGGTAATTATTATTTTATATTCATTGTTTTATTGAACTGTTATATATCTCCCAGAATAACTTTCTGTAGATGGGCACCCATATATATTTCATCAATCAATAAATAAATTTGATCCATAAAATAACCTCCAGTTCATAAATTTTATACTTCTTATAGCCTGTTACCAAATATAATTTTCAATATGTTAACTCTGGTAAAAAAAACAAAAAACAAGGTCTGGTGATTTAAATGTTTATTCTATTAGATGCAAAGAATGGAATAGAATCCTGAGACTTGCCTGTGTGCATGCATGTGGATGTGTTAATAGTCTATAATGACTTTAATATTCTCATACACAATATCAGTATATTGCTATTAACATAATATAAAAGCAAGGCAGAAAATTTTACTTAATGAAAATTATAGATTATAGAGCATGTGGAAAAGTTTCAGAATAAAAAAGCTTGAAGAAGGTATAACCAAATATAGTTCTTAACTATATGTAACTATTTATAACAAAATATAGTTCTAACCACATTTTAAAATATAGTATGGTTCTATATATACTGAATAAAGCTGTAATGGGATGCCAGAAAGTATGAGAAAATAGTCATTGTGGGTTGTATAAAAATGTATATAAAGTATTTGCAGTATCATATAGAACTAATATATTCTGCCTCAGTTCTTCTGGAATTCAAATATAACATGACCAGATAGACTAATGTGGAAAGACATGCGTGGGTGGATGAATGACTGTATATCTTAGTTCAAAAAGATTAGATTAGATTAGATAACCTTTGTTGTCATTTTTTACTGTGGGCACAACAGCACATATTAAAAATGAAATTTAGTTGTTTGCTCTCAAAGTGTACACATACATAACACACATTTAAACATACTATATACAACATATGAATAGACCTACACCCTTACATATAAATAACTTAAATATTAAACCACTGTCCATCTTGAATACATAACGGAAGGAGAAAGTGAGGTTTATTTTTTAAAAAAAAATATTGAAGATTTTTTCCATTCTGCAGTGTGACAAATTTGGTGTATTGTACAGGTAATTTTCAAGTTACGAATGTAATGGAGCGTGCCCATTCCATTCGTAACTTGGGGATTCGTAGGAGTGAATCCTATACCTTGAACATGATCACTCCCTGCTTT